CACTTTATAAGCATTCTTTACAAAAATTGACTAAAGGGCTACTTTATAAGCATCTCCTAAAAAGATGTGATGATAGGCTTCTTTAAAAGCATCCCTTACAAAGATGGGATAATGTGCTACTTTATAGACATCTCTTAGAAAGATGGGATAATGTGCTACTTTATAAGCATCTCTTACAAGGTTGGAATAATGGGCTCCTTTATTAGCATCTCTCACAAGAATGGGATAATTTGCTTCTTTATAAGCAATTCTTTAAAGGATGGGATAATGTGCCACTTTATAGGCGTCTCTTTAAATGGTGTGATATTGGGATACAATAAAAGCATCTCCTACAAGGATGGGATAATGGGCTAATTTATAAGCATCTATCACAAGAATGGGATAATTTTCTACTTTATAAGCAATTCTTAAAAGAATGGGATAATGTGCCACTTTCTAAGCATCTCTTTAAATCGTGTGATATTGGGATACAATAAAAGCATCTCTTACAAGGATGGAATAATGGGCTAATTTATAAGCATCTATCACTAGAATGGGATAATTTGCTACTTTAAAAGCAATTCTTAAAAGGATGGGATAAAGTACCGATTTATAAGCATCTCTTAAAGGGTTGAAATTGGGATTCAATATAAGAATCTCTTAGAAGGATGGGATAATGGTCTCCTTTATAAACATCTCCTATAACGATGGGATAATGTGCTACTTTGTAAGCATGCCTTACAAGGTTGGGGATAATTGGCTACTTTATAATCATCACTTACAATAATGTGATAATGGGTTACTTTATAAGGATCTCTTACAAATATGGGATAATGTGTAACTTTATAGGCATCTCTTACAAAGATGAGATAATGTGCTACTTTATAAACATCTCTAACAAGGATGGGATAATGTACTACTTTATAAGCATCCTTTACAAGAATGGGATAGTGGGCTTCTTTATAAACATCTCTTACAAAGATGGGATAATGTACTACTTCAAAAGCATTCTTTACAAGGATGGGATAATGGTCTACTTTATAAACATCCCTAACAAGAATGGGATAATGGGCTACTTTATAAGCATCTCCTAAAATGAGGGGATAATGTACTACTTTATAAGCATTCTTTACAAGGATGGGATAATGTGCTAGTTTATAAGCATCTCTTGCAAGGATGGTATAATGTACTACTTTATAGCATCTCTTACAAATTGGGATAAAGTGCTCCTTTATAAGCATCTCTTACGAAGTTTGAATAATGTGCTACTTTATAATCATCTGTTACAACGATGGAATAATAAGCTACTTTATAAGCATCTCTTAGAAGGATGGGATAATAGGCTACTTTACAAGCATCTCTTACAAAGATGGGATAATGGGCTACTTTATAATCATCTCTTACAAGGATGGGATAATGGGCTACTTTACAAGCATCTCTTTAAAAGGATGAGGATGTGAAAGTTGTCCTATGTATGCTACTAAATAGCGCTTAAGTCGGAGATGAACGCACGGACCAATCTATCAATCAATATTTGTGTAACAAACTAAGTACAGCATCCAGCATCAGGCTATGGTGCTGGAGCAAACCAAAGAGAGGAAGCGACTAGATAATTGATGTAGCTAACCTAACAGAGGACCAGGATCAGGATTTGTTTGTGCAGAAAATCTAACAGAAGAACCTACTATATTTGAGTATGAAACCTAACAGAAAATCCTACTATATTAAAATTTGAATATGAAACCTAACAGTGGATCAGACTATGTTGGTGTCGAAAAACAAACAAAACATTAGGCCATATTAGTTCATGAAGGGGGTTTGTTTTTTTAACAAACCAAAACAGACAGAGAGAGAGAGAGAGAGAGAGAGAGAGAGAAGTCACGCACACACACACACAATTCAAATGGCTCTTAATGAGACATTAACACCCCTAGGCCGTGGGAGACCGAGGTTTAATGCTCGACGTAAAAGGATGTTCACCTGTGTTAGTCTACTGACTCTCAGTAAGTCTACAGACTCTCATAAAGTTTGGAATGTAGTCATCATGGTTGGCGGAAAAAAGGGGGGGGGGAGATTGTAGGGAAAAGAAAGTCACAGGAAAAGAAAGTCACAGGAAAAGAAAGTCACAGGAAAAGAAAGTCACAGAAAAACAGTCACAAAATGTATTTCCAATCAACTCCTAAATGTGAGTGTTGATGAAATTGGATTTGTTCATTTTTCGGCGGGTGTACGGCGGACGAAATACGGCGGCGCATTCGGCACGCGGCGTCGGCTGAGGGGTCTAGGTCAGGATCCCAATGGGATCATTTTAGGGAGAGGAATCCCAATCAAAATCAGTGTCCCAATGGGGTCGGGATCCCAATGTGGACAGAATCCCCTCTGGTATCCCATTTGGAAACGGGATCATAATCGCTATCAGGATCCCAATGGTGTTGGAATCCCAGTAGGGTCAGGATCCCAATGGGGTTGGAATCCCAGTAGGGTCAGGATCCCAATGGGGTTGGAATCCCAGTAGGGTCAGGATCCCAATGGTGTTGGAATCCCAGTAGGGTCAGGATCCCAATGGGGTTGGAATCCCAGTAGGGTCAGGATCCCAATGGGGTTGGAATCCCAGTAGGGTCAGGATCCCAATGGGTTTGGAATCCCAGTAGGGTCAGGATCCCAATGGGGTTGGAATCCCAGTAGGGTCAGGATCCCAATGGGGTCGGAATCCAAATGGGATTTGGAAACGGGATCCCCATTGGGTTCTCAATCGTGATCGGTAACCCAATGGGGTCGGGATCCCAGTGCGGTCAGGATCCCAATGGGATATGGGATCCCATTAGGAAACGGGATGCCACAACTCTTGTTAGAATTTATTTCTGATATCTGATGGCTGAATGCTTCTGTGACGTTTTCTTCCTGTAACTTTTTTTCCTGTGACTTTTTTTCCTGTAACTTTTTTTCCTGTAACTTTTTTTCCTGTAACTTTTTTTCCTGTAACTTTTTTTCCTGTAACTTTTTTTCCTGTAACTTTTTTTCCTGTAACTTTTTTTCGAGCACATTTGTGACTTTTTTCCGTGACTTTTTTTTCCTGTGACTTTTTTCCGAGCAAATTTTATGACTTTTTCCCATGACTTTAATTTCCTGTGACTTTTTTTTCCACTCACCGGGGGAGGGGGCGGGCTAGTCAGTCTGTGCGTGTGCTCTTGCATACAAGTGCGTGTGTGTGTGTGTGTGTGTGTGTGTGTGTGTGTGTGTACCCGTGAATGTACTTGCGTGTGCCAGTTGCTTGTCTATGTGGATTGTGACGAGGCTTTGGTAAGTTATGTTTGTACCTGGGTGATACAATTCTCACCGGGGGTACACACTCATCAGCCACTAAATACGGGGCTCAGAACTGCGATCATATGGTCACAAGCTATTTTTAATATTGTCTAGCAGGTTCGCCTGACACACGATCGGTTCCGTCAGTCCCGTGTTTTCTAATACATCCCATAAAAAACAACAACATTTCGTGATGATTGTATTATTTATCAAAATATTCCCAAAAATATTAGAACTAATCTTTTAATTTCTTCACCATTTCCGGATTCACTTGAAAAATTATTACAATCATGTATTTAAAAAAAAAATGTAGTTCATGGCGTTTGATTTCATGGATTTATTTTGAAACATAAAATATTGATTTTTTATATGATCCTTAGGTGAAGATTGCAATAAGGTCAGATATGAGGAAATTTTTAAAACAAGGTATTGGACATCTTGGGGTTAAAAAGGATGCAGCAAAACAATGAACGTATCGGCAAGAAGCCTTCCTCGGCGAAGAGTAAACCCAAAAAGTAACATTAATATTACAATGAAAACTTTGCTGAAATGCTGTATCCAAGAGGACTGCTAGAGGACAGCAAGTGGATAGCAAGAGGAATGCATGAAGACAGCAAGGGGACAGCAAGGGGACAACAAGGGGAAAACAAGGGGAAACATGGGACAACAAGAGCACAGCAAGGGGACAACAAGGGGGACAACAAGAGCACAGCAAGGGGACAACAAGAGGACAGCAAGGGGACAACAAGGGGACAGCAACAACATAGTTCAGTTAAAAGTCATTCAACATTGTTCAGTTAACAGACATTCAATATAGTTCAGTTAACAGACATTCAATATAATTCAGTTTAAAGTCATTCAATATAGCTCGGTCATTTAAAAAGAAACAATTATACTACATAAGAAAAGACTAAATTAAAATTAAAAAACCCAATCTTTTCGTTACCTTAAAAATGCGAACACAATCAAAATCTTGCAAATGTTGTAATTTTTTATTTTAATTAAAAAAAAAAACAATTTAGATTAACACGTCCCGGTCTGGTATCGGAGCAAGGGAGAGGGGAGGACAAGGGAGAGGGGAGGACGAGGGAGAGGGGAGGACGAGGGACGGGGGAGGACGAGGGAGAGGGGAGGACGAGGGAGAGGGGAGGACGAGGGACAGGGGAGGAGGAGGGAGAGGGGAGGACGAGGGACAGGGGAGGACGAGGGAGAGGGGAGGACGAGAGAGAGGTGAGGACGAGGGAGAGGGGAGGACGAGGGAGAGGGGAGAATGAGGGACAGGGGAGGACGAGGGAAGGACTAGGGAGAGGGGAGGACGAGGGAGAGGGGAGGACGAGGGAGAGGGGAGGACGAGGGAGAGGGGAGGACGAGGGACAGGGGAGGACGAGGGACAGGGGAGGACGAGGGACAGGGGAGGACGAGGGACAGGGGAGGATGAGGGAGAGGGAGGATGAGGGACAGGGGAGGACAGCCTGCTTTTGCCCGTACCATCCCCATATTTTTTTCTTAATTACCCCAGCCCACCACATCCACCACCCCCCTATTAACATGAGGTGTCAGTGTCCTATTGTGTTTTTGGTTGTGCAACTTGTCACGTGCTCACACGTGTCAATCTGATCTGTCGGCCTCACACGACCCTCCTGCCAGACGTGGTCATTTGTAGCGGGAGGAGGAGGCGTGAGGTGCCAAACAAACTGAGTGAATGTCCCAGGGTCACAGACGCCTATGTTAGGATCTCTGAAAAAGCAGACTCTTTTATTTTAGTTGAAAAAAAAAATTAAAGCTGTTTTACGGCTGGTTAGCAGATACGACCCCCCAGTTCGGAAACGCCACTGAACAGCCTAGCAGTAAACCCTTTGTGCGCCGCCATTGGCATTCACGCGTGATACCGAAGTGCCGTTAGTTGTCGCGAGAGGAGAGTTCAGCACAGAAGACGGAAGAAAGAAACAGGACGAAGATGTTGACCAGTCCATTTGTCCTCGTTTGGTGCCTCACCGCGGTGACGTCATCCTTTCTGCCTTTGAGTAAGTCTTCATCTAACAATAGTTATACTTTTATCTTGACACATCTTATCTAGAAATATTTTTACATTTATGTTAAAACATCTTATCTAGCAATATTTTTACATTTATGTTGACACATCTTTCAAGTGAATCACTATGGACAACGTGAGTTTCTAAAAATAAATTTAAAAAACAAAATTTGATTTAGATTGTTTCCGATTTTCTTAAAATAGGTACACATGCAACCAGTATGAGGCTTGTATGGGCAGCTGCACCCCTTGATTCATTCATTCATTGTCTATCCTAGTTGCCAACACTGTCCTGGGGCCTATCTGTATGTCCTGGGGCCTATCTGTATGTCCTGGGGCCTATCTGTATGTCCTGGGGCCTATCTGTATGTCCTGGGGCCTATCTGTATGTCCTGGGGCCTATCTGTATGTCCTGGGGCCTATCTGTACGCACATAAACAAAATATAATTATTTAAAAATATGTTTCGATATTATATATTATCTATGCTACGGCCTTCCCCATTTTGATGTCAATTCCAGGCATACCCCCCGAATCTGAATTATTTTAATGAACATTTTGTTCAATGTTCAGTCGTCATCGCATTACGTGAAACGATTCAACATATAAAAAAATATTTTAAAATATGCATATTTTTAATTCTCGCTACAAGAGGAACTTCTGGCAGGATGACCTTGACTTCTTGTTAACCTTGGCCTTCCGTAAAGTTACCTTGGTAAATTAGGGCGATCAAAATTGTTTATGTTTTAAAATTGTGTAGTCTTAACCCCAGTTGCTTTGTTTCACTACACACGGAAACAGTTCCTGCAAATATATTGTGAAATTGAATCATACATAAAGGAGATAACTGTGGATTATCATCGTCAAAATCCCACGATGGGAGAACAATGGTGACAGGGGAGATAACTGTGGGTCAGTACAAACATAGCCATTCCTAAGTTAGCTGTGAACAAGCACAAACATAGCCATTCCTAAGTTAGCTGTGAATAAGTACAAACATAGCCATTCCTAAGTTAGCTGTGAATAAGTACAAACATAGCCATTCCTAAGTTAGCTGTGAATAAGTACAAACATAGCCATTCCTACGTTAGCTGTGAACAAGTAAAAACGTAGCCATTCCTAAGTTAGCTGTGAACAAGTACAAACATAGCCATTCCCATGTTAGCTGTGAACAAGTACAAACATAGCCATTCCTAAGTAAGCTGTGAACAAGTACAAAAATAGCCATTCTCATGTTAGCTGTGAACAAGCACAAACATAGCCATTCCTAAGTTAGCTGTGGGTCAGTACAAACATAGCCATTCCTAAGTTAGCTGTGAACAAGTACAAACATAGCCACTCCTTAGTTAGCTGTGGGTCAGTACAAACATAGCCATTCCTAAGTTAGCTGTGGGTCAGTACAAACATAGCCATTCCTAAGTTAGCTGTGACATTGGACGTGACCTCAGGGCCGGCCCTATACACTGTTGCTGGTGCCCCACGGAAGCCTATCTATTGCACCTGCTTTAAGTCTAATCATAAATGTATCCCGTGGCAAAGGCAGTAGAACTTAACACCCCTAAAATGAAAGCGACTGCCTTTGTCAGCAACGACTGTTCTCACAACCTCCTGTGCACGAACATACAATTTATGTAGTATGACATACAAACGTTTGGCAACAAAATTATTTTTTTCTTCCATGGCGCCAACGTGCATTTTGTTTTCGTATTTTTCAAGATCGCTGTGGGCGCCTGTATGCACGAGGCACCCCAGGCAACTGCCAGAGTTGCTGGTGCAAACATGCCTGATTAGACATCAGGTTGTAAAAATCAGTCAGTTTAAGATTATTCTACACCCGCTTATTCAATGAGTCATTTTTTGCGCTGTTTTTGCGACCCGTATGTGAAAATTTCAACCACTGACAAAATATGTCCCACAAGAGTTATTTTTGGAGGGGACTGTGTGACTTGTAGCGTGGTATTTGTTTTCTGTAGAATAATTGTCATTCCGAACACGTTACTTGCACGCGAGAGGCAAATAACTAACTTCTGCAGACATTCTTCTATGTGCGATGTAAAGGCGACTTCGTCAGGAAACACCACTTCACGAATTGGAAACTCCCCCCCCCTCCCCCCCCTGCTCTTTGAAAAAAGGCGGGGGAAATTGAACAGGCTACCATCAGGTCTGGTATGGATGTACACTCCGTCTTTACTGTCCCTGGCGGCAAATTTAAGAACCCTTGCGAAGAAAATGGAGAAGAGCGTTGGTGTCAGTACGCAGACTTCTTTTACCGCTATGCTGACTGAGAATGCCCCAGAGACTGCGCTATCGGATATCCTTACTTTCCTTAGCCTTATATCCAGACACATTTCATTTGTAATTATTTTTTTATATTCAGAGCAACAATCAAAATCTGCAGTTATCCGAGTCCAGCCAGGAAAAGAAGTCAAAATAAGATGCAATGGCAGAGTGTGTGGTGGTTCACTTCAAGGAGATGTGGTGGAAATAAGTATGAAGAAGTGGACAGCAGCTAAGGGAACAATGACCGTCCTTGCAACACTGAACGCCCAGAATTTGACGGTAAGGCTGGACAGACAGGTATATCGACAGACAGACAGGCGGTTAGACAGATATGTAAGAGAATAGACAAACAGACAGACATAGAGACGGACAGATATATCGATAGACATGTTATATGTATATATATATATATATATATATATATATATATATATATATATATATATATATATATATATATTGATATATATATAGATAGATCGATGGATATATAAACATATAGATAGATAAATAGATTAGATCGATATATATATATATATATATACATAGATAGATAGAGTATATAGATAGATAGATCTATGATATATCGATAAATAGATGGATAGATACATAGAAAGTGGATGGATGAATGTATTGGTGGCCATTTGGATAGATGGGTGAGTAGGTTGATGGGAATATTGATGTATAATTGGATCGATAACTGGATTGATGGATTGGTGGATGTGTGGATGATGGGTGGGTGGGTAGCTAGATATAGTCTTATTCTACATCTGTGTTTGATCAGATTCGTCCAATTTTCAGTAAAAATGTATCCACAAAAAGTAATATGCTATTTTAGTTAGTTGATATTGTGTCAATATTGGCGCATAATGCTGGACGTATCACCGCCTCACCGTCTCAATGATGAAAATCCACTTCCAACCTAAGAGACGACCTCAGGCCACCAAAGCACCGAATCGCCACAACATCAGTAAGCTGAAGATCCCTGATGTGAGACAAACCTTTGTTGAAAACCTGGATGAACGCCTTGATACCATCACACTGGACAACCAGGACGCGGAAACAGCGTGGACCACACTTCGTGAGACGGCGTATAACACAGCCGCTGAGCGCCTCGGACCCTCTACCAGGAAACACAGGGAATGGTTTAATGAAAACAACCCAGCGATCCAAATGCTAATTAAGCAAAAACTTTGGGCGTACAAGGCCCTCCATGATGACCCAATGTCAACAGCAAATACAGCTGCACTAAGGAGAATCCGCTGCACGGTGCAGTTGCAACTGCTCTAGATGCAAGACTAATGACTGAGTGTGAAAGCTGATGAGATTCAGGGCTTTGCAGACAAGAAAGACATGGAAAACATTTAAAGTGGCCTGAGAGAAATCTATGGAGTTACCACCTCAGGCTCTTCCCCTCTCCTTGGTGCAGACGGTTCTACACTCATTACAGACAAGGACAAAATCTTGGAAAGATGAGCGGAACAATTTGATAGTGTGCTGAATACGACTTCCATCATTAATGATGAGGCCATTGAAAGACTGCCACAGGTCCCAACGAAAAAGTCAATGGACTCAGTCCCAATTTTGGTCGAGATACAGACAGCAATCCGCCAAATATATGGCAAATTACCTGGCTCCGACACGTTTCCTGTCGAAATCTAAAATTGTGTCTATTCTAGATCATCTGGTCGACGGAAACTATATACCAAAAGACCCCAAAGATGCCTGAAATATCCACCTGTACAAACACAAAAGTAACCGCCAGGCCTGCGATAAGCACAGCAGAATTTCATTGCTGTCCATCGCAGGCAACATCTTTGCCCTAGCCCTTCTGAACCGCCTTAATGCACATCTGGAGCTAGGTTTCCTACCTGAAAGTCAATGCGGTTTCCGCAAAGAACGCGTAACTATCATCGATATGGTGTTTGCTGCTAGGCAGCTTCAAGAGAAATGTCAGGAGCAAAATACGGACCTATATTTCACATTTATCGACCCGAATAAGGCTTTTGACAGGGTCATTTGAGGTGGCCTGTGGAAAATTGAAAAGAAGCACGGATGCCCAGACAAGTTCACCAATGTCATCTGTCAGCTGCATGCCGGCCCGAGTAGAGCACAACGGTCAGTCATCTCAAGCCTGTCCTGTCACAAACGGTGTAAAAGCAGGGCTGTGTCCTTGCTCCCACACTCTTCAGAATTAGGTGTTCTGCAATGCTGTCCGATGCGTTCAAGGACTCCACCACGAGCTCACCGTATCCCCCCCCCCCAACCAACCGAATGACTCAATGATCCTATTCGATGTTGACGGACGAACAACATATTGTCAATTGCTTATTTTGTTTGGAATCAAATTTAAAAAAAATCCCACTAATATAGAGAGCTAGGTAATGTAGACTTGTAGTTTTATTGACTGATTGTTTACAAGGTTGGCTTGGTACATTTTATCTTTGTACTTTGAATATACAAATAAATCTAGATTCCTAATATTGTACAACTGTGCTTTTCTTCTGTCAGGTCAACTTGTATGATCTGGAGATTGCCGAGACAGTGAGCAAAGATATAAATATCACGGCCAGCGGAGAAGAACCGGCCACTCTCCAGATGACCACGCGGAACGTGCAGAATGACGATGCATACATTTGCATGGTGGTATACGTGTACGATATGCTTGTTACATACGCCCGCTGCACAACGAGGCTGCTAGTCACTGGTTGGTTGTTCTCTTTTAGCATTGATTGTCCCAGTTCTCTGATGATTTCCACATGCATTTCGTGAGCGCTGTGTTTAACCCTGTTTGTGCCAACTGCTTAAATTGTATCAGCGGCTTGATATCATTTTTTTCTGAAATATGGAATCAAAATAAATTAAAGTTACAAGATGGACGGAAGCCAATTAATTTTCAGTTCTTCTCAGAAAGGAAAAACATCCGATTCTAAGAAAAGAAAAACATAACATTACAAAAATTATTCCGTGACATTCCTCTGTCGTTTATGGTTATGCTTTTTAAATTAAAACAAATCTGATTTTGGACAAAAATAATATTAACATTTACAACAAAAAAAGTAATCTAGAAGAAAAGATGTTTCCGATGAGCCCAGGAAATCGTTCATAATCAAAGAGATTTTACGAAGTGCTTAAGAAAATCATAATATAATATTATGCATATCTAGTTCCAGTGGACTTGTTGCAAACAGTAACCTTGTAATAACTGCTTTACTGAGATTGTGACAAATTTGTACTTGATATCTCCCTGTAATAAAGATATTTATCAACTGTTTAGTCGTCTTTCAAAAGCATATGGAATTTTGTGTTGGTCTATAAAGAGATTTCGATATCACTTTTTTTTTAATTTTTAAAATAGTTTTTTGGAGAGTAGATCATGTGAATATTACAGTATTTATATGAAGTGCTTTTACTTCTACTAGGTAGTTTATGAAAAAATGGCTCGGATTTGACTAAAAAGTATTACAAAAAACAAACATTTTTTTTCTTCTTTATATTTCACTATTTTGAAATGCACTTGTTAGAATTTGGCATAGCTCCCCTGGGGAAGACCTCCATTAAGTAAGGGCGCTGTGACTGTTAAACGATAGTGGGGGAACCTTTGCACTTCAATATTTCCTTGAGTAGTCAGATTTATTCTTATTGGACACCGAACAAAACCACCCCCCCTCCCTTCAATTTTTTGTACCTATCTGCCGCGTCTGTTTACAATTAAAAAAAAAATATTTTTACTTCAAATCATTTCCTTTCCGTTCTTCTTGACTTCATTTTTGTCTGGGTTCTACGCCCACTGCTATTCTTTTCTAATTTCTATGCAGGATTCATGTATAGTTATATTATGTACATTTAATTTTTACTTATTTAAATGTTTTGTTGTTGTACTGACTAAGGCATTTGCCGAAACGTTCACTGGTGTATTATGTATAATTATTATTAACTCGGAACTAATATTGTTTTATCGACAATACGTACCAAATTTTAATATATGACCTTGTATGTAAGACATCCTCTTTTCATGCCCTTTAAGTATTGTGGTAGGCAATTTTTTAAAAGGCCAAATGCTAAATTAGTTTTAACATATCATTATGTATTTCCAATATCGCATGCTTACTTGTATATTTCCGACCCTCCTGTAAGGACCCAAAGTTTTTCAGAGGCGATATTGGAGGTAATTTATTTCTTGTATTCTCCCATCCAGCGACGCCAGCGGTTCCCGTCTCAACAACGGACACCACAAGACGTATCACTGCCCCTGGCCATGGAGGTCCGCCTAAGAGGTCCCCAACTGATGAACAGGATACGACCGGGTCAGTGTCCGTGCTGATGTTTGGCGTCGCCATGATGGCCATACCCATCCTGATAATAGTCGCCAACTTGATACTCGGCATCCTGAAGTAAAGAAAGCTCGGCTCACTCATCAGACTACAAAGATGGTTCCTGACAGTAGGTGTAAATGAGTTCAACACAGGAACAAGTCTGGTGACATTAAATGACAGGTTTCTACTTGGCCATGATAGCAAGTCAAGTTTTTTTTCCCTATGAATGAGCATCAAAACCTATTTCCCTGGACACTTCACTTAAATCATCTAATATAGCGCAAGAGATAATTAATTTGGCCTATTAGATCTAAAATTTTAACAAAACAATTTTTCTTTTGAAAAAATGTATATAAGAATGAGCCATACTGACATAACGCTAAAAGGCAGAAACTATTTTGATACGTTTGGATTCTTAAAAACAATCACAGTTATTTTCTAGTATTTTACGGAAATCGAAATAATTTACATGCTCAAAAAATATAATTTATTTGCTTTTATTTTAGCAAAAGTTTAAGTATTATTATTATAAATTACAAATAGATTTAAAGTAACAACAAAGGAACTGTTTTAAGCAGTTTATCCGAATGTAAAAGTTATGAAAAAAATTATTAATAAAAAAATTGCCTCTTAATCACATTTATCGGGAAAAGAAAACAAAAAATATTTCTATTTAAAAATTACTTTAAAAACCTAATTAAAACACACAAACATTTTCTTTGAGTGGCATTGTAATCGTATCCGGAAATTCGATCAAAATAAATTTCGTCGATGGTAATTTGATCGAACAGAAATTTAGTCGAATCGGTGAAATATATTTACAGATAGATTGGTGAAATACATTTGCAGATAGATTGGTGAAATACATATGTCTGTCAGTAGCATTAATTAAAATTGAAAACAATGTTGGTACAGTTTGTCTGTCAGTAGCATTAATTAACATTGAAAACAATCACACACAAAATTTTAGGTTGGGATTTGGGGAGGTGGAAGAGGAGGGAGGGGGCAAACACTTGGCGAGAGAGAGAGAGAGAGAGAGAGAGAGAGAGAGAGAGAGAGAGAAAGAGAGAGATAGGGGGATGTTTTGTTTTCGCTGGATGTGACGAATCAACCTATTGTGTTTACCTGGCAAAATCCCCGACCTCCAGACAGCTTAGCATTAAATAACATTGAAAACAAGCACACACAAAATGTTAGGGGGGGAGTTGGGGAGGTGGAAGAGGAGGGAGGGGGCAAACACTTGGCGAGAGAGAGGGAGAGAGAGAGAGAGAGAGAGAGAGAGAGAGAGAGAAAGAGAGAGTTAGGGGGATGTTTTGTTTTCGCTGGATGTGACGAATCAACCTATTGTGTTTACCTGGCAAAATCCCCGACCTCCAGACAGCTTTTTTAGTTGAGATTTTTTTAAAAAAAATTAAGCAGAGGCGTAGCTAGAGTGTTTGGCGCCCGGGGACCAGATATATTTTAAAGCGCATTCCTATCTTTTTTTCAACTCTCAACCCCATCAATAAAATAATATCAAAACACATTTTGACGCCCCTAACTAGTATGGCACCCGGGGAAATCTGCCCCCTGCCCCCCCCCCCCCTTAGCTACGCCTCTAAAATTAAGTTGATCAGATTAATTTTGAACACTGGCCTCATATCATAAACTCTATCACATGGATGCAGTTCTAACAAGTGGAGTGGAAACGGCACACTGGAGTCTTATTAAATTTGGAACTTGTCAAATAGCATACTGTTTGATGCAGTATCTATCACAACCTCGCATGGTGCCAAAATTTAAATGTCAAACACAATAGTGGAACGAGGAGTGGTGAATTAAAGGTGTGATGTAGTGAAACAGTGAAGGAGTGAAGGGGTGTTGGAGTGAAAGAGTGAAGGCGTGATGGAGTGATGAATTAAAGGTGTGATGTAGTGAAGGAGTGATGGAGTGAAAGAGTGAAGGAGTGATGGAGTGAAAGAGTGAAGGAGTGATGGGTCGAAGGAGTTTAGGAGCGAAGGAGGTTACAAAGGCAAGCCAGAGGGCTGTCGTTGCGGTCGTGACGTAATAGGACACTTCAAACATCAATGGTGAATCACACCAAATACACACAACAGGAGCCAAAGAAACAGTCACATGGCTCGTTCATTTGATAGATACAAGTAGCGCTTTGAATTAAAAAAAAAAATTAATTATGGTATGTTGTTGAACTTTAAACTCTGCATCTTTTATTGCTTTCTAAATAAATTTTGAAATCCCCTCTTATTGTCGGTCATTTTGTAATCAAGTGAAAATGTGTTTGTTTTGTTCTTCTTCTTGTTATTTTGGTGATTTTCTGGTGGTGAGAAGACCGAGAGGTCAGCGCATTGGCGGAGGGTCAAAATATGAACTTATGTGATACAATTTTGAATATAGCTATTGTTACAGCGGGGAAAAAGTCACAAATTTTGCTTCGAAAAAAGACACAGAAAAAAATTCACAAGAAAAAAAAGTCACAGGTAAAAAATACAAAGGTAATACAAGCGAAAGAGGAATGCCAGGGTCTGCAGCTGAATACCTGCATGTAGCACAATGTGTAGCAGAGGCTATCCCCTTCCCGCGGTGCCAGAGATTAATACAGGCATTTAATGGGATTTATGTGAGACTAAACGCAAAATTGGAGAGTTTGTAGAAATGTGACGTCATTCATGGGGGGAAATTAAAAAAACAAAATAATCAATTCATTTGGTTGAGCTAGTAAGATATTGATTGGTTTCTTTGACTATCTCAGTCAATGTGTCGAGTTTGTGGTGGGGTGAAAATCAAGTAAGACATTCACAATCATTGAATGAAGTGTTCGATCTAGAATTGTCTGATTTTAAGACTAAATTTGACACCGCGTTGTAGAGCTCAGTGCATGTCCGACAAAATCAAATATATATTAAGTCCATTTACATTGGTGGCGTGGGACAAATCTGCTCAAATACGAATGCCAGGCCACCCCAGTGCTGTCAGACAGACATACTCAGCTAACAATCTCAGATCATAGGGATGACGTCAGACAGACATACTCAGCTGACAATCTCAGGCCATAGGGATGACGTCAGACAGACGTACTCAGCTGACAATCTCAGGCCATAGGGATGACGTCAGACAGACGTACTCAAGAAACAATCTCAGATCATAGTGATGACGTCAGACAGAAATACTCAGCTAACAATCTCAGATCATATTGATGACGTCAGACAGACATTACTCAGCTAAAAATCTCAGATCATATGGATGACGTCAGACGGACGTACTCAGCTAACAATCTCAGATCATAGTGATGACGTCAGACAGACGTACTCAGCTAAAAATCTCAGATCATATGGATGACGTCAGACAGACGTACTCAGCTAACAATCTCAGGCCATAGTGATGACGTCAGACAGACGTACTAAACAACGTTGTCATTGCTCCAAGTGTCCGGAGGCTGCTGTTTTCCCTGAAAGCGATTAGACCATTGTGTTCATTTGTGTTTAAACACATTCATTTTCTCTAAGAGACCAAGATACAAAGGGCCAAAGATATATGTGTGTTTGTGGTGGTGTGTGTTTTATATATAAAGATACTAAGAAACAGAGGGATAGAGAGAGAGAGAGAGAGAGAGAGAGAGAGAGAGAGAGAGAGAGAGAGTGAGAGACATATAGATACGGTGATGCAGGCAGAGAGAGACAGAGACAGATACATAGAGAGAGAGAGAGAGAGAGAGAGAGAGAGAGACAAAAAAAAAAAAAGAGAGAGGACACATAACACTTGTGTGTGTGGGTGTGTGTGTGATATATAAAGAGAGAAAGAGAGAGAGAGAGAGAGAGAGAGAGAGAGAGAGAGAGAGAGAGAGAGAGAGAGAGAGAGAGAGAATGAGAGACATATAGATACGGTGATGCAGGCAGAGATAGACAGAGACAGATACATTGAAAGAGAGAGAGAGAGAGAGAGAGAGAGAGACAAAAAACAACAAAGAGAGAGGACACATAATACACATGTATTGTGTGACGTCACATCCACTTCAGTCATGAAGAACAAGTAGCAATTGACAGCCGCTAACGCAAACAAAATTTACATCAGGAAGTATGCAATGCTATTGTGTCTGATTTTGTCAGTTTATTTCCCTTTACAAACTAGATTTACATCAGGAAGTATGCAATGCTATTGTGTCTGATTTTGTCAGTTTATTTCCCTTTAAAAACTAGATTTACATCAGGAAGTATGCAATGCTATTGTGTCTCATTTTGTCAGTTTATTTCCCTTTACAAACTAGATTAACATCAGGAAGTATACAATGCTATTGTGTCTCATTTTGTTAGTTTATTTCACTTTACAAACTAGATTAACATCAGGAAGTATACAATGCTATTGTGTCTCATTTTGTTAGTTTATTTCACTTTACAAACTAGATTAACATCAGGAAGTATACAATGCTATTGTGTCTGATTTTGTTAGTTTATTTCACTTTACAAACTAGATTAACATCAGGAAGTATACAATGCTATTGTGTCTCATTTTGTTAGTTTTTAAAAACAACAACTTTTAACTACAAACACGATTCATATGTCAGCAAGTCCAACTTTACAGTAAAATGAAATGATGTCACGCGTCCCTTCACATCATAAGTGCTTACATTTTATGTGTGTTTCAATGCCGTCACTATGAGCTACTTTTATTAGGCGATGTTTTTTCCCTTACCTTTTCACCTCGTTTACGTACAAGGATATAACGTCCATCGCTTGACTTAATTCTGACATGACTTAAGTCAGTGCAGTAAATCAACTACCGTGCTACTGGTCGTGTGGATTCGGTTTAGAGATTACATTCTGCGTGAATCTTGACGCCACAATATCGCAAGTCAACTGATTCTTTTAGAAATACTGTCTAGATTAAATTAGCTTTGAGCTGAAGAATAATGTTTGTGCAAATTACTCTGTGTGTAAAGACATCGCCACAGTAATCAAACCATACAGTCTTAGAGAGTACAGACAAAGGTCAGACAAAACCCGGCAGTTAAGGTGTTTAAAAAAAAATACTTAGATACGTTTTTTAATCACGTCATGTCATGACAGCTCACAATGCTTGTGTTTACACGTTTCTTATCTCAAGGCATCGTCCATTTTGTTATCATTTAACTGCTATTAAATAAGCGTGGGAAGACACATCCAAATCAACTATATTCGAGTCTGATGTTTGATTATATATCTCCGTGAGATGTCCAATCTCAGCTGACTATTTCGCCACGTTCATCACAGCAACAATCAGAGAATGCTCTTGTTTCAAGGCCGAGGGTTAGCGATGAACTGGGCACTGTTTCTCATTGCTCTTACACGTACAGGTCAGAATTTTATGGGTCGATTTCATTATGATCAAATTAATGTTCGTCACCGTTTTATTGACCTCGATAATTTATGAAGAATTACAAGATTTGTTATTATTATTCTTTAAAAGATTTATATAAAAAGTTTAATTAATGTACCATATGAATCTCAGACGCACAGATTTATTCATTGATGAACAAAACACTTTTATTACAATTTAATACGATTGTGAGAGTGATAGATCACGTGTCAGTTTCATTAATAGATTGTCCATTGCCAGGTGTATCGAGTGTGAGAGTGATAGATCACGTGTCAGTTTCATTAATAGATTGTCCATTGCCAGGTGTATCGAGTGTGAGAGTGATAGATCACGTGTCAGTTTCATTAATAGATTGTCCATTGCCAGGTGTATCGAGTGTGAGAGTGATAGATCACGTGTCAGTTTCATTAATAGATTGTCCATTGCCAGGTGTATCGAGTGTGAGAGTGATAGATCACGTGTCAGTTTCATTGATAGATTGTCCATTGCCAGGTGTATCGAGACAGACTGGATGGTTAAGATGGGAGGCTAAAGAAAAACGGGTGGTTTTCAATGACGATGCTGTGGTCTGTCGCAATGGTGATGGTATCTTTATTGAAGATGTTACTTTCCTAAAGAAGGTAATGTACCAATTAAAAAAGAATGTGCACTTGTGATAACAATACAGAGAGATGGAATGTGTACCTGTGATAAGTATACAGAGAGGGGGAATGCGTACCTGTGATAAGTATACAGAGAGATGGAATGCGTTCCTATGATAAGAATACAGAGAGAAGGAATGCGTGCCTGTGATAAGTATACAGAGAGAGGGAATGCATACCTGTGATAAGTATACAGAGAGTGGGAATTTGTATCTGAGCTGAGATAAATAGTCATAATGGCAGCCGTCAGTTTTTCATGTGACAGATGAAGTAGATTATTTGGCATAAAGACCAAACACTGCACAACTCGTCTTTGTGATCAGTCGCTCAGTTGTGAATTACTCAGAAAGTATTTCAGTGCTACAGAAAGCTGAACAGGGTTTCAAAACTAAAATTTCTGGTATCCATAGACGCTAAAAAAAGGGTGGGGTACCCCACTCCTCTTCCTGGAATTATTAAATTATTGTCTAGTATCGAGAAGGAGATTTAAACAAATGAATAACATGGTTAAAATTAAAGTAAACTTTATAATGACTGACGCTCTGATGAACCAGGCAGATGTCGTGATGTAAGTCATGCATTTGTAAACAAAAATTACGCTGGAAATTAATAAAGAAGTGTTACTAAAGGTTACTGGCATGAATTCAACAATTTCATTCCACAACATTAAGAACTATCAATTTATTTTCAAACGATCCAAATGACTAATTCATTTCACAGAGCTGGGTGGCATTTAAAAAATATAACAACATATTATCTGGTCACTTTTTAGATCAGCTACACAATTCTCTTTACTACATACATTGTGTTTAAACTCTATGTAGTCTTATATATGTGGTCTTATATATGTGGTCTTGTAGCCCGAGAAAAATTTGAAGCTGTGATACTTGTTCAGATTTCATGAAAGTAAATATAAATAATTTGGTAAATTTCCCAGCGATATGTTTTGCTATCTTAGTGTGATTTTTGACAAAACTAAAGATTGAACATAATTTGAAACTGTTTGGCTTTCAATGAATGTCATTTTCCCACTGTTTATAAGATTCTTAGTTTGAATCAATATTAATAATATAACTATTTTTAATAATTATTTTTACAAATACTACTCACCTTATGAATTGCTTTTAGCTATCTTGTAATACATAATTTTTATTATTATTTTTACTATTTTATACTATTATTTTTTAGTCTATGATTGCTATTATTACTATTACCACTCATACTTTTTAAATTGAGAGCTTTCCCATT